CATTTACAGGTAATTATCGGCAATACAAGACGAAAGAGAGTATAGTGAAACATTGGTAGTAAATACATTTCGTGTTTATTCAGCATTGCTTTTTTTTTAAATGCTCCAAATGTCTGTGGTCCGCCTGGTCCATCGTCACTTTACCTTGTGTTGGGATCACGCTAGGCAGCCTAAAAAAGCTGTGTGGCTCTCTCTGATACCGATTGCTGCAGTTGACAACACGTACCGCAGGAGAGCGGCGTTGTGATGGATTTGCCTAATAGGCGAATAAAATGAGCAGAGGTGCGTTGCTCAATGTACTTGTATACCATGCCTTAACTGGTTTCTGGAACCCTAATGGCCGGCGGCGTTGCATTATGGGTAATATGAAAAATCGCGGAACCCTCTATACTAGTTGTTTTAGTCATATTCTAGCTAGAAAAAGCGTCGCGCATCTTGTGCGGCTAGATTGATGTTATAGGGAGAATAGTAAACGTGTTTTAGGTCGGCCGTTTTTAGGGTCATTATGAAATGGGGGTAGGATGCAGTCTGTGAGAACGGTTTCATGTGCGTGCAGGATGTGGTATGAGTTTTGGGGAAAATATAGAGAAGAGAGATGTAAGAAGGGGGATTCGGGTGTTGGTCGCGAGAGTACGCGACCGCGAGTGTGCGCGGGTCTTTGTCTGTGTGTAAGGAGATGTGATGTGTGCCAGTTATTAAAGGTTATACAGTTTACCACACAAGATCTGGATTTGGATCTACTTCATCATTTCTACATGAACGCTCATTCCTGTTTACATGTGTGTGTGTGTGTGTGTGCGTGCGTGCGTGCTTGCTTGCGTGCGTGCGTGGGTGCGTGTGTGTGTGTTTGTGTGCGTGCGTGCGAGTGTGTGTGTGTGTGTGTGTGTGTGTGTGTGTGTGTGTGTGTGTGTGTGTGTGTGTGTGTGTGTGATAGGTTGATAGGTGATAGAGGCGTGACATTGTAAAAAAATACAATTTGTTCGCATATCATGTGCGTTCAGACGCCATTAGTTTGTCATGCATGTCAGGCTTGTCATATGTCATATGGAGGAAAACATTTATGAGTCATTTAATGCTCTCAGTCGATTAGCTACGTGTTTGTGTATGTACAACAGCATAGTCACTGAGCTATGCATCTATTATTATTTCATTCTGAACTATAAGGGAGTAGGCATCTAGCTAGTTATCGAGTCTGCAAGAAAATCCTTCTAAAATATGTTTAGGCAATTCGTACTATCGAAGAACAGAACATTTACCCGCATTGAAAAGTAGCAAGTTTCACTAGTTTTTATAAACAGTATAATGCGCATCGTCGACATCAGCTTAAAAAATTTACTACTGACATCTACAAAATCGCTCACGCGGCAGGCGCCTTCTTTATACGGTTACCGCGAGATAAATAATGCAATATAGCACATAAAACAGAAAGTTCGTGCAGACTGTTGAGACAAATTTAATCGCTGTAAAGATAGGCGGTAGTCTCTATAGTTTGCTTACAGACACCACATCTGTGCAGACAAATTTATTCGCATTTTTTTCAAAAAGTGCTTTGTAGTTTTGGTGTTTTAGAATATTTACACAAGCCATATTAATGTACAGACGTACCTATATATGTTCTCTCTATATACTGATGAAGAAGAAGACAGACCAGTGGGCAATTAAATCTTTGACTAAACAAAAAAATCAATGCAATGTTATCGATATAATCATTAGAAAATAACCGTTACTAAGTGTTACTAAGTGTTACTAAGTACTACAGTGTTATCGATATAATCATAAGAAAATAACCTATACTTTTTCTCAAGTACTTTGTTACATAGAAATTATGTATTCTCTAAAATGAAACAACGACGTTCCTATCAATTGCTATAGGTTGGATGCCACAGAGGGTTTCTGCCCTGTCTCGGCATGCGATGCGTCTACGAGCCTCCAGCACATGATTTTTGGGTGCCAATATCTATTAAAGATGCTTAGCGTCGCTGTTTGTGCTAAAAATAGTCGGATCTGCTGCGGGGCGCGGAAACATGAGATGCTGCATGGAAGCCTACTGTATAGTATTGTTTGAACATGTGTGCCTCAGCATGTAGCACGTCGCTGAGAATATGCTCATTCTGTGCAAGTGACGAAAATCCCAATTACGTTTACGCGTTTATCCTGCTCTATAGTATTATACTATGTATGACAATATATAACACCATTTTTGTTGACTACCAAGAAGCTAAAAATCTAGTATGACAAATCATATGTTCACGTAATTGCCATTGCAAATAAAGAATGTACATCATGAGTATTTCATGGTGCAGCAACTGTTCATGGTTCATTTGAGTCGATAAAACCGGTAAAAATAGGTGAAAAACAATTAAGTAGTATTAAAATTATTAAATAGTTAAATAGGTAGAAAATAAATGTCCAAACGACAAACTTCTTAAAAGATTAAAGAGAAACTGAACGACTTGATACAATTGTACAAAACGCTCGTATACGATGTTTGCTTTGTTGAGATAATGTTTAACTGCATTAACCACTCGTTTTAGGGTTCACTTCGTGGGATGAAGAAAGATCGGGGCTAGATATCAACAATGAGCTACAAAATTTTGCTGCGCATGCTGATACTGGAGAAGCAAGAGAAAATGGTGGGCAAACTGAAATTCAAACTATAAGTTTAATTATTAATAGAAAATTTCAACACTTATGGCATAATGTTAATGAAGAAGCTAATACTACATTTAATAATACATGTAATAATATTTACTGCCTGATACAACGGATTGATCGAGGTAATTAATTACCAAATTACCCGAGAGAAGGACGACAAATACTCGATACTATGATATCAATAACAACTCATCTCTTGCTCGGTTTACAGGTGAACGCGTTGTCCTACATGAATCTGACGGCCTCAAGATGGAGGTGGTCATCAACGGATGCGTCAACACAACGAAGGACGCTATACGAACATGTCTAATATCAGGAGCCGCTTACAAGTACATAAACTACGCCGGACCACTGTTTCAAGGCTCGGGAGCTTGGATTCTGGCCGACGGTGTCTTTGGTTTTGCCGACTTAGTTCATCTGTTCGCGGGAAACGACGTGCGCAAAGCGGCAGACGCGCGTCCTAACACAGAGCTTCATATCAGGTCGGTGCCTGAAGGTGACTGGGTATCTAGATCAGTTACAAAATCCGAGCTCGATGTGTCGTTCAACGTTTTTATCAATGAGGATCACGTCAAATTATCTAATCAGATCGGCATTGAAGACTTCACATCCCACATCGGTTACTTTATAGAAGCAGAGCCGCTTGAAGATGTAATGGAGACAACGGTGATAACGGGCAATATTCGCTTTTCTCGCCCGACGATTTACGTGTTTCCCGCCGGTGTAGGAGATTCGGCGTTGTTCGGCGTGAGTGGCTTCAATATGCTAGTCAATGGTGGTTACAGTCGACGTCCCTGCTTCTGGGAGTTCTGCAAGCACTTAGAAAGAATCGATGTAGTTCTTCAGACTCACGCCGGCTCTGATAATCTTCACGGCCTAAGCTCTGTGCTGCAGAGAAAGGTAACTGAAGACATCTGTCCGAATATAGGACACGTGTATGCCAACATGGGTGAGATAACGACAGCAACGAGCACGTGCTACAGCGAGTTAATAGTTAGCCTTACCTGCGAGTTAAATAACGTGGCTGATCGATGGGAAATGTTAGGTCTGGTACCAACTCCGTGTTTTGGATCGTTTCCACAGCAGCCCATAAACCTCTACCACAAAGTGGGTTATGGGACGCTAGACATGTATGTACTGAATCCCGTAAAAGATAGCACCGAGATTAAGGATTTCATGCAGCAATGGCAGAAAAATGTAAAAACCTTCAAAAGCATTGAAAACATACCTCTGCTAGATTTCGTATCTATCTGCGCCCTACTTGTTTGGTATCCCGCAGCAGAGGAAGATGACATTATCAAAATACTATTTACTGGCAATGCCCCGCAATCGAAGGTGCTGGGAGGCCTTGATAGATTGAAAGATCTTCGATGTTTGCAATATAGTCAGTGCTCATCAGAATCACTTAAATCAAAATCAAAACTGCAAGCAAAACCAGAGTTAAAAATATCACCTGTAAAGCAGCCTGCTTCAACTATTCGCAGCGCAGGTGCCGCCAAATCGGTCACATCGACAAACCCCAATATCAAACATAATGACACAGCTAACACTACAAAGCCTAGTTTACGGACAAGTGTGATACAAACACCAGTGGATAATATCCGAAAAATGCCAAAGACTAACGACACATCCTCAGAACCAAAAAGCAAAAATGATGCGAAGCTACCGGAGCCTCCAGTCGTTCACAGCACACCAAAGTCGACCGTCTCAGCTCCACAAGATTTAGCTCTTTCCGCGGCAGACGACATTGTTGCCGGCGAAGAGCAATCCTCGTCTGAGGACGAGATTTCTAGCATAGATTTTACAAAGCCTCCAGGCGTACTGCATCAGCACACAGAGGTCACGGATACTTGTCCCGCTTCTTTCGAGGATCAACAGCTGGTTGAGGATGAAGATCACTTGCCTGCACTTTTACTGACGGGCAGTGAGGGAAATAATACGCCCATGCTTCAACAAGAGCTTGCAACACCGGAAGTAAACATCGATGCCTTTGATGATAGCCAATTTCCTACCACCGACAAAGAATGTGGATTGGATTCCGATTCCGAGCTAAGTTATCGTTCGATGGTTATCGATGGAAATAAAACCTGCGAAGTTACTCAATCAACTATTTTAAGTGACCAGAGTCACACAGGCGTTATCGAAGAGGATGTGGCAATTGAAGGAATCTTGCAAAGCGAAATTGTTAGCTCGAGCCCGGAGTTGCCTCAACAGACAATGTATGAGAGTCACGGCATAACAGAAGCCGCAGAAGGTGAAGCTAAGCACATGCATTTATACCAACAGTTAAATAGTGATATGGTATCAGATATTAAGCGGAGTTCTGGCGAAACAAATCTGGTTGTTGACCTAGACGCAATTCCATGTCACAGCTCGGACATGTCTGCAACGGGCGACGTCTGTGTTGGGTCTAATAGCCAGGGAACTGACCAACCGCACGAAAAATCCTTAACTGCAACTGGAATAACAGAAATCCATGCAGAACATGAGGTTATTGACACTCAGGTTATGGCTAAAAACAATAACATGGGTGGTAATATAGGGAATGCGGTATCCAGCGAAATTGCGAGTTCCCATGAGGAGGTAACCACAACTACAGGAATAGTACCCACAGAAGAAGATAGTGAAAGTATATTAGAAAGCCAGTTAAAGCTTGATGAATGTTCGCCGGAAGCTGGAGGAAATGCGGGTAATGTAAAATGCAATGAAGCAACCGTAACCGAATCACCAATATCAACTGATTGCCACGAAATACACGAGAGTCCACTGGAGCGTGCGCGAAAAGAAGTTGAGAGTGCTGGGATTTCGATGGAAGAACCACTCGTTTTCCCCCCTGATTCACAGTGCAGTCATGAACTGCTAAGCCCTATTGAGGAAGAACAGGAGCTTATTAACTCAGGAATGATGGACTCAGCTGCAAAAGATGTGACAATCGATGAATGCATTTCTCCGCATGTTGAAACACCTATTGCCAACCTGCAGCCTTTGGCAAGCATATCCAATATAGCAGGCGAAAGCACATGGCCAGAAGACAAATTACCTACGACAAGTCCCATAGATACAGGAGATGCAAACATTGATTGTCAGGCAGTGATGGAACAGGATTCTCATCACCCATCGACGAGCGACGACAACATCCCAGGTAGCATTTCAACTAAAGATCCTGTTGGTGATCGGTACACAGGGGAACTCATAGCACAAAGCGAGGAACCTATAGAAGGATTGCAGTCAACTGAGTTCTCAGATATATCAGAAATGAAGGAGAAAGAATTTACGCCAATACTCGGAGATGCGTCTCATTCAGTTGAACAAGTCGCAGCCGACTTCGCTATAGGAATCACTGATTCAAGTACCAATCGCAATGCCGAAAAGCAAGGGATGTCTCTTACACCAGATCTGTTAGATGGGCCGGAGCAGATAGACGACATCACTGATGTAAGCAAAGATGCTGCTGGATCGGACGTGGCACTGCTAAACAACTCGCTAAAAGCACCACTCAATGAATTGGATGCTCAACAACACTCGGATAACAGTTCTATAAACGCGGCTAGCAGTAATACTGCTTCAGAGACGGATCATCGACTCGCTGCAATGGACGACCAGCCATCCCATTCTGAATTATTTGATAATGTTATATTAGGAGCCGACGATACAAGTGTTTTCCAAAGCCATCCAACGCACACCCTGGCCCAAGCCGCTCTGCCAGATTATGAAATGCGCGAGTATACATCACCGTCAAACGTGATGGAAGCGCAACCGACACTAAACCCGAATGCTGATACGTTCGTCCCACCTTGCAGATCTACACCTACTGATATCCAGACATGCAACGAACAGGAATCATCACCTATGTTGCAGCAAAGGTTAAACCCGGAGGCGGACCCATTCCTACTACCTATGTTCGACTCTACGAATAGTGCTTTTGACCCTCATGCCAGTCTCAATCCTTTTGCTTCGGCATTCATTCCAACTCAATCACCACCAACTTCGGACACCCAAGAATACAAACCACGATCAAGTCAGAGCCAGATCCCAGAAAATATAGAAAGCACTGAGCTTGGCGCCCTGGATGACCCAACCTCAGATTGGGAACCAATGGGTCTTCCTACTCCTCCTCCAACAACAACAACAAAAACGACAAGTAGGCAACCTAATACAAAGAATACTGAACAGAAAACAGGTTTGAGGGCGTCGTCATCAGCTACGAAAGCGAAAACTCAAGTTAAACTTACAGAACGATCTGTGGAAGCCGGCCACAAAACCAACGTCACAGCTGATCGTAAACGAAGCGGAGTTTCGAAACCAGAAGCAAGAATTCCCCAAACCGCAGAACAATCAAAGTTGGCTGTGAAACCAGGCTTAAAGGCGACTGCATCAGTCGATAGCACTCGTGCGCAGGTCAGACAAACAGCATCAAAACCCATTACAACCTTAAAAAAAGAACAAGTTCCGAAGGCACTTGCAGCAAAACGACCAATTGGACAAGCAATCGCAACCACGCCTCTGAAAACTAAACCAGTTAGTGCCGTTGTTCCCGTGTATCTAAATTTAGCCTACATACCGGCGCATGGAAAGCAGCGGTATGTTGATATTGGATTTTTCAAAACAGTGCGCGCCAGATATTATGTTTACAGCACTCGCAATCCTTCTCTTCATATCTTCAATACCCTGCTCGAGGCGAAAAATACGTGGGACGACAAGGGCATGCTCACCACAGTTATTCCAACATACGATGATAATGATGAATTGGTTCATTGGGTGGCACTGCATAAAGAGGAATTAGCCCAGTTGAACATTGAAATTGCGCCGGCTGCTTTCAGGTGCTCAGTAAATCTACAAGACCACGAATCTTGCTGCGCTGCCTATAGGCTAGAATTCTAATAATCACTTTGTAACTGAATTGAGATATTACTGTTAATAATCAATGAACGCATAAAAATGTCCATGATTGGTATGAGAAGTTTAGCACCATTACTCTGCTATAGTCAATTAAAAAATATCTCATAAATCCAATTAAATCCCATTGTTAACTTTAGGGAGCTCTCACTGTTAGGCTGTATTACGCATTACAAGTATTGTAACATTTTTTTCATATTAAAATGTCACAGCTTGAATTTACATATATTAGATAGTATATGATATCCCTGTCATATTACTGCTGCTACTACTAGTACTACTACTACTACTACTACTACTACTACTACTACTACTACTACTACTACTACTACTACTACTACTACTACTACTATTACTACACCGATGTATAGTATTAGAAAAAGAATAATACTATAATTATGCCTGAACGACAGCGAAATCAAACATCGAAATGTATGATGATTAAGCGAAAATTGAATGTGTATAGCTTGTATTTATTTCGCTCGTATGGTAATTTATTCATAAACATATTTAAAATGTTAAAAGCCGCATCTGTTCGACTTGGATACAGGGACTACGTTACGCTTAGACGCTATAGATTCAAATGTAGACGGTTTATATATA